AGGTGATACGATCCAGAACCTCGGGCTCTGGTTCCACTTCGCTTTTACCAGGAGTCCATTATCTGCTACCGGAAAACATACGATAACAAAACTGTGATGACAATTGAGTGCCTCAAATCACAATAGTGTCCGAGTTTAACTCCCAAGAAAACTCGAAGTGGCAGTGAAAGTGCCTATGATTTGTGGACGCTGAACCATACCACCTTAAGAACTCAGTATGCCTTAAGAACTCAGTCACAGTAATTAATTGAAAGCTTTCTATGCCAACCAATGTATGAATCTGTATTATTACAAGCACAGTGATACTCTATGCCCAGGGAAGTTGAGAAAATTTCCAACCTAGGACTGGAACATACTGAGTTCTTAAGGTGATACGATTCAGCGTCCACAGGCACTTTCACTGCCACTTCGAGTTTTCTTGGGAGTTAATCTCGGACACTATTGTGATTTGAGGCACTCAATTGTCATCACAGTTTTGTTATCGTATGTTTTCCGGTAGCAGATAATGGACTCCTGGAAAAAGCGAAGTGGAACCAGAGCCCGAGGTTCTGGATCGTATCACCTTAAACCAATTTCTATGTAAAGATCCCTTCAGACCGATCGCGTTTGTCATAGTGGTCTTTGGTTTTTTGTTCATGATTCCGTTATAAATAATCTGGGACTTTGAACAGTTATCTGAAGTCTTTGACTTGGAAAATTGGTAACTACACTGCAATGCTCATTTCTGTTTGTCAAACTTTGTAAACATTTCAAACAGAAATGAATAAATAGTGTATTACTGAATTATAAGTGGGGATGGGTGGCATTCACTAGCCCGAGAATACCCTCCACATACTAGCCTCTTCACCAACCATACATCAGTACGCACTTATCAAGTCAGTCATTTTTACCGAGTTTTTGAATTGCGGAAATCTTCGGTAAAATTTAAAAAAATCTGTGAAAAATTCAAAGTTGAGAAAATGTGTTACGAAAATTAACAGACTAACTTCTGTTAATCCCGTGTAATGATGAAAAATAAAAAATTTCGATTTTTATCCAATCTTTACGAATAACAGTCATTTGAATTTTAACCGAGTTTTTCAGTAATCCAAAAATCCAGTAAAAAATACTGACTCCTGCAAAAAAAACTAAGTGTACACAGAAGCAGCGGAGCTCCACACTCCTCCTTCGAAACAGCACCGCAGCTGAGCTGCGAGTGCTATGAAATAAAAGGGACATCGACTTATTACCGCTACCTACTTCTCTCCCTTCCGCTCTCAGAATTCGCCGATTCGGTGTCTCTCGTTGTGTTTTCTGCTGAGACTGAGCAATATTCGATACCGCGAAATATCTCCGCAGTTGTGTTTTCTTTCGGCGCAGGAGATGTGCGGTAAACAAAAGTTAAGAATGTAGCTAAACATTTACAATAACATTCTAACAAATTTTCATGTGCGTAGTCCACTGCAACAGCCGAACGTACGAACGAATAGGGTGACTATAGCGCATTTTATGAAAACGTCACAAGTTTTTATGGCTGTTTTAAATCAATAATTACGAAGAAACCATAAAGCCTACAAGGTTACTACCAAAGGCACAAATCTAGGGAACTGCATGGAAAATGTTTTGTAGAAGAACTAAATAAACAGAAATGGAAATTTTCAACTTAAAAACACTAAAATGTATGAAATTTCACCAATTTTTTTGGTACTTTCAACATACTTTTCAATTTTAATGTATGATAATCAACTTTAATCGAGTTCTTTTTCAAAGAGCATTGATAGCTAAGACTTTAATCTTTCATTTAGTGTGTTGAAATCAGAAAACCACATTAAGATTAAAAAAATATAGCCAACCAAAGTTGGCAATACAAAAAAACATAAAATGTTGAATAACTCACTTAGCAGTCATTTCCGACCCTATGTTTCATGGGGATTTTTTCATAACTTTAGGAGCCCTATCTACCCTGAAAATATGTAAAACCCGGAACCAAACACCCTGTATTTTCCATAATGCATAACAATTTCAAACCTTTGTTTTTCAGTAACTCCTAGGAAAGCATGTATTTTATATTCGGATAGATGCAAAATGTCGATTTGTTTATTTTTGTGACTTACGTCCTTTTGAAAAGTTATGCTTGACTAGTGCTGCACCAATTTACCATACGGTCTAACTTATGTTCAAAATAAGCTTTTCCATAAGTTTAAACGTAGGCATACAGGACAGCATTGTGACTTACTTGCTGTTACTGATTTTTTTTTTATTTGTTCATTAATTTTATCAATCGAATCAACTTTACAGAGCCGAGAGTTCTTGCTCACTCTACAAAACATCGTAAAACTATGGTCAAAAAGTACAACACAAGAAACACTTTATCTTCCGCTATCCAATCCAGTATTTTACGATCGTTTGTGGTAGGGGTTTCTGGTAGGGACATAAGATTTGAAGTATGGGTTGTGTCGTTTGACGTGTAAACGATCAAATTTAAACGTTTACACGTCAAACGACACAACCCAAACGTCAAATCATATGTTCCCTACCAAAAAAAAACTCAACCAGATTGTGGCGGCCATAAGCGCTCGTAAAATGCTGGATAACCCTGCTCCATCGGAACGGGATACGCTTCCAGTGGTTTCATTGTATGGCAGTATCGCCAACGGGAGGCAGAGCGTTTCCATTGCAGCAATTGATGCAAAACGTGGTCATCACTCACACACTCATCACGGTTGCTTTTCAAAGTCGACGTCGCATCGTCCGAAATAACTGTCGATGAAGAACAATAAGAAGATCGACACAATGGTTGCTGCCGAGTAACACACAGACGATAGCGAGACACACATCGAGAGTGGCCTGCTTTTGTCGACATCCGAGTGAATCTATTGCAGAAATTTTGATTTTGATGAAAAAATCAAGGTTTTAGGCCGTACGTCCAATTAGAGGACCACTAGTGGCATAACTGGTATACTTCCCCTATAATAGGTATCAGACATGTTCTGCAGTGTCAGGTATTCTATTTCGTAGTCTGTGAAAGGTATTTCTAGGATTGTTGACTGCACTGTTCTCTGTTAACAACTAACGGAAAGCAGTTTATGCGTAATTTCAGACAGATGTCGCCACAAACGACAATAGTGACATCTTAAGACAAATAAGCGCAGAAACCATTTCCATCGGCTCATTGCTGAAATCAATCATGCCGGTTTTTCTATTTTTAGCATATTAACCTGCTTATATGAAACCGGAGAATATGTGCTGGACAGCCGACATTTTAATTCCTTTTATTCAGTATAGTCGAAAAACTGTTGTGTTTGTTGTTGTGTTTGGCCCTTTTCTAAAAAAAATAGTATACACTTGAATTTTGGAAAGATCTCCAATATTGGTGAGGAATTTCAGTATTTTTATTGGATTGTTTATAAGCTGTGATTTGTAATTGATTTCATACTTCAACATGACTTCTGCACGTGAATTTCCATCAATTTCCATTTAGCAGTCCTACCGGGTTCCATTTGTAAACAAACCTAATTCAAAATTCCTAATGCCCCGCCGTTGATTTACACCGATCCACGGTGGCACATCCCGTGCCCCTATCTATCTCACTGTGGGTCATTTTTCACTGCCACACGAGCTGACGGCGGTGACCGACGCCGTTGGTTGTCCATAATTCACCCGCCACCACCATCATCACCACCGGATCGGGGCCCTGCTCCTTAAGCTTTCACCAAAATGCGGTGGATGGGCCACGAATTTGGACGTCGTCGTCGTCGCTTCTCCGCTTGGCGGTTTGAACCGCAATAATTTTCCGAAGGAACGCGCATCAGGGATTAACATTTTCCGTCCCCGGGTGCCGCACTTTTCCACAACTATTGCCACTTCGCTCCGAAATACACGCCATTTTCCCTGTGGCCCTGCGGGTGGTGGTGCTGTAAGGGTCAGGAGAGGCGAACCCGTCTCGGAGGCATTTCCATTTTAATTTATTTAAATCTTGTCGCTCGAGACGCTTTCGTTGGCTGGTGCTCCGCTTTCGCTTTTTCAGTTTTATTTTTAATTAAAGTTAATCCCTGCGATTTGATGTGTTTCGTCTCGTTTTTCGGGTTCGGGTGTCGGTTCGAATAGCCGGAGAGCACGCGTTCGTGATTTGAAATTATTTAAGACGTATTTTTCCAGCGAGGGCAATAAGCTTCTGGGGCAAAACGGGATTAAGAGTCAACTTTGAACTATCTATTAATGGACATTCTTTTCTGGTGTTTTGTCGTTTCAGGTTCTTCAGATCGGTTCGGAAGAGAAGAGGGAGCGATTCCCTAGTGGGCGAGTGTGAGGAGAAACATCCGCTGTCGGAAACAGCGAGATCCCCCTTTTTGAGACCCCCAGTACAAGAAAACAGTCAAAACGATTTATCTCCGGCCGTACAAGGACATCTTCCCGGGCGGTGGCCATAACCAGTTAAGCTCGTTATATCCACAGTCCGTGATGGAACGTGGAGGCGGAGCGGGAACTGGTGGTGGAACCGGCACCGGGCTTGACTCGATGACCGACACCAGCGGGCTGTGCCTGCAGGATCTGGTCGGGAATGGAGGCGGCGGCGGTGGTGGTGGCTCGGGGGGTGGTGGCGGAGGAGGTGGAGGGGGTAATACCAATGGAACCTCGGATCACCATCTGCACCACAACCACAACAGTCACAACCACCACGGGTCGCTGCACGATTCGGTTTCCGGCGTCAGTGTCAGTTCGGCACTGACCAGCCTGATGAGCCCGGGAATCAACAGCGGGCTGGGCCATCTGCATCATGGTACGCCGGATCTCAGTGCACATCACCACCATCACCACCAGCATACGTCGTCGGTGCTGCACGAGCCGCTCGAGAAGCTGAAATGTAAGTACTTATGCTACTACTTGGCATTGGGGGAAAGCCTCAAATGTTTGACTTTCAGAAGCCGTATCAAGATAAAAATATCTACAGGGTGATTCAGAATAAATGTCACCGATTTCACATCCAATTCTCATGGGGTAAAATGGGTATCTGTTCAAGTTTTTTTTTTTTTAAAGTGTGCACTAATGTCAGCTTGTATTGATAGTAGGATTTGAAATTTCATTCGTTTGAGAATACAGCCATGGATGTGAATCTGTATAAATTGGTGGAGAAACTGAAATCCTTCGAAACAAGTAAAAAGGAACCATCCCAAGCAACATTGCTAGTTTTTTTTTAGGTTTTAAAGCATTCTACAAGTCTAAATCATTGTCTTCAGAACTCTCATAAAACCAGAAATGTTACTTGGGATACGTGGAAAATCCGTTCAGTATCAGAACTTAGACGCATCGCCAGGACTCCAACAGTGCTGAAACTAAAGTGTGCATGCCGGCTGTTATTAATTTTCGTGACAAATATGGCTGGTAATTAATGGAAAGGGAGAGAGATTTGAATTAAAGTATGCTAAGTTGAAGGTAGCATATCTGGAACATACTGATATCAAAAATTCATGCTTAAACGTCATGTTTTGACGTAGGACTACGCCTGTGATTTCTATATGGGGGTAAACTTTGTGAAAACCGAAAATGGAACATGTAACAAACTATGAAAGATTTTGAACGTTAATAACTCAGCTGCCCCTGGACCAATTTCAATATTTTTTTTACCAATCGATCAGATATATTTCTACGCATTTGTTAAATTTAAGACTTCATCATTTTTCAAAATGTCACTGTTGTAAATTACACGAATGTGCAACTGTTGCTCTGCGAAAAGCAATTTCCCTAACACAGATTTCTAAGTTGAATTCTATCCGGTTTCACCAAACAGTTTTTATTCAGTAACAGCGTGGTGAGTGGTGGTGTTCTCCAGTACACAACGAAAGGCTTTCCGCAAGCAGTGGGCTGCAGCCCACATGAGCATCCATAGAAGGAGGTTGAAGCTGAACCGCTATTGATCGGATTCAGTAGCTCTTCGTGAATTGCTGTGGGCCATCTATGTCAAGTGCGTCATACAAAAGAGTATAAGCAGAGAGAATCCCGATCAAATTCCTATTCCTACACAAAACACAAGGTCCTACTGCAGTTAACAAAAAACATTTCTAGATAGAGCTGGAATTAGGGCGTAACAGCTTTTGTAAACAATGACTTCTTTCGATGATTTCTAGAAAATCAAGGCTCACCAACGCAAATCAACATCACCATCGGGTAGGGGACGAGTTCCTCTACCCGAAGGTTATGTTAGTTTGCGTGGGCGTGCCTTGAATTCTTAGAAATCATCGAGAGAAGTCATTGTTTACAAAAGCTGTTACGCCCTAATTCTAGCTCTATCTAGATTTATTATATAAGACCACGTGGTCCTAAATCACCATTGCGTACAATCCCATAGGGCTGTCACTTGTAGTTTTTTTTTAATTCAATTTCGTCTTCCATCCCGAATGCCCGCACCTTCCTTTGCACCCATCAAATTTTGTACAACCGATTTTCCTAGTGTTTTTGATGTTTTAACCCAAATTTTCTTCAACTCCAACTCTGTTTTAATAGGTTCGGGATGTTTGTGAAGTTCCACCTTCATAATTGCCTAGAATTATTCAATTGGGCGAAGTTCCGGTGAATTTGGTGGGTTCATATATTTTGGCACAAAATTGACTCCGTTGGCTCGGTACCACTTCAACACGTTTCGAGTGATCAGGCCAAAACAGAATTGATCCATTGTGCTTCCTTCTGAATGTCAAGAGTCGCTTCTTAAGGCACTCTTCCGTGTAAAACGCACCGTTGATTGTTCCGGAAGTGATGAATGGAGCGCATATTTCACCACGCTTTAAAACCTCGATAAAACTTGCAATGTTACTTGGGCAGTAAGTTTCATGGCTTTCTGTGCAAAACCGACTGATACCTTGGACTTTCTAGCGATATCTCGAATCGAATTGTTTGGACGGTTCTTGAACTGTTGCACCACTTACCTGGCCATTTTACTGTCCATCGGACCACTTTTACTACCACTCCCTTCCTTCCTTCGGGCACTCAGACGCTTCTTGAAGGTTATTATCACACGAGACACAGTTCTAGATAAACATTTCAAAAGGTCCTATCTGCATTGAACGTTTCTCTTCATCGACTTTCTCTTCCATTAATAACTTCAAAAGCATTCCCTGCTGTGTTCAACGTTCTAAGCACAAGATAGGAACTTCTGATGTCCAACTGTGTGGGAAAAATAGCACTAAATGCATTTGCGTAGGTGTGGTTATCAAAAGAGAAAGTCGATGAAGAGAATCGTTCAAAGCAGATAGGACCATTTGAAATGTTCATCGAGAGTTGTATTGGCAATTCCAAGCTTTTTAGCGATCCATCGGTTCTTCACCAATTTATTGTTTTGACGACATGACTGGAACTACTGTATGAATAACTATGACACTTGACAGATGTAAACAATACACTATGGATAAGATTCACTCAAATTTTAGGTTTTTTACTCATATGGTTTAAAAGTTACAAAAGATTTTCGGTGTGCCATTTTTCTCGAATACATGCTTTATCTGGAAAATCATGAGAACTCCAGGCTAAAGCACTGCAGCTTTTCAAAATCAACTGAACATTTTTGATGAAACTGAGAAAAGCAGCTATCTGCTATCAAAGGGGACCTCCTTCGAATGGGTGATATCAGTTGCTTAGTCATTTGACGAAGCCGTGATCATTTTCATTTGAGAAACGCTTGATATCATTCAATTGAATGTACTTACCTTACCAATCAGACTAAGGCCTTGTTGTCCTCTGCTGCCCGAAGAAGTCGTCTCCACTCTACTCGATCCATGGCCACACTTCGTCAGCCTCGTAGTCTGCGAAGGGTCCGCAAGTCGCCTTCTACTTGGTCTATCCACCTTGCACGCTGCGCGCCTCTTCTTCTTGTTCCTGTTGGGTCACTTTCTAGAACCATTTTCACTGGGTCGTCGTGCGGCATTCTTACGACGTGCCCAGCCCACCGTAATCGCCCAATCCCAGCAGCTGGTGCAATTCGTGGTTCATTCGCCTCCTCCACGTTCCGTCATCCATCTGCACTCCACCGTAGATGGTACGCAACACCTTCCGTTCGAAAACACCAAGAGCGCGTTGGTCCTCCACGAGCATAGTCCAGGTCTCAAAATTCCAAAATCCCAATTGAATGTAACCTACACATAAACGGAGCTCTGGCCGACATTCAGGCGAAAAAGCTTAACCAACCCGACATCAACCTGACTTCTATCAAACCCCAACCCGAGGTTGACCCGACATAAACTCAAACTTTATCCGACAACAACACGACTTTGGGTCGACATCTTCTTAAATTTTCTTACATTGATCCAACATTGGGTCGACTTGTCTGTTCGGGACCATTTTTCTGGGTTTCTTTTTTTTTCCTTTATTACCGTGATTTTTAGCCGTAGCACAGAACAGAAGAGGAAGTTTAAACAAATCGGTGAATCAAAAAGTAGTTCGTTTTTCTGCTCAACAAACGATGTGTTGTGGTAACATTCTACATGGGCTTTCTATATGCACTCACACTATCATAGCATGCTGCCTATCTTAACTGCAGGCAGAAGATGCCTTTTACCGCTAGGTGCGCTAGTGTTCGCAAATGACATGTGGAGCCACTTTCTGATCCGAAGTTTCACTCCTGTGGCCGTAGGCTAGTTCATCACGTTATATAGCAGATGGTTAGGCTAGATCCTGCCTCAGAAAAATAGGTTTCAATTTGACTTTAACGTGACGTATAACTGGCTCTGCTTACCCAACGAATGAGACAGACAACATTTTAAAGACTTAATGTAAAGTGAGGATTACATCGGGGCTGTGGTGAGGACTGGGTGCGCGAACAAGGTAGAGCTCCACCGTCGGAGGCAGTGTCTCGTCCGGCGGAGAAACCCTGACGGCGGAAAAAATGGGAAGGTGTGGAAAACACGATCAGTGCAGCCACCGACGGGGGGCTAGATTTGATTATACAAGTGGGCGTCCTTCAGAAAGGCGATCAGCGCAGCCAACTTCGAGGGGTCGTAACCAAGCAGATTCCTGACATTCTCCGGGAGTCCGTGTTGTTCGCGTAGCTTCTGGAACTCCGGGCAGACACATAGCACGTGTTCCACCGAGGCGGGGATGCTGCAAATTGATCAAAGCTTGCGGAAAGGTGTCCCACCGAAATTACAGGAAATCCTCGCATGGCCGGTCCGGAGTCTTGAGATGATCCGCTGGTCCTTGTACTTTTGGCTGCCCAGCCAGGGGCATACGGTTTCTTTGATCTTCCTCAGTGAGTGAGTGAAACTTCGGATCAGAAAGTGGCTCTACTTGTCATTTGCGAACACTAGCGCACCTAGCGGTAGAAGGCATCTTCTGTCTGCAGTTAAGATAGGCAGCATGCTATGATAGTGCGAGTGCACATAGAAAGCCCGTGTGGAACGCTACCACAACAGATCGCTTGTTGAGCAGAAAAACGAACCACCCAGACAACCAGTAGTCGTATAACAATGTGCAGACAGTATCGTAAATTGCTACAGTTTAAGTCAAAATCGCATATGAGAATGGCATACATCGCATTATGTATAATTTAAATCGTATAGAATGCAAATTTCCGACCTATATGCGATGATTCATTTTTCCGTCGTACTGTATCACAAATCAAATCGGGTTACATCGTAAGACTTTTCAAAGTGAATTTGTTATTACAGATTAAATCGTATATGTTGTTAAATCAACTCGTTTAAAATTAAATTTAAATTTGCACGTATATGGCCTCCACTTTTGTACGTATAAGCCATTTCTTTGCATTCTATACGATTTGTCGGTTTGTATATATGTTTGTATATCACGAAAACAACTTTGAATATACGTGCATTCTGGTTGTCTGGGCACTTTATGATTCATCGATTTGTTTGCACT